GGGGGACGACTAGGTTGCGATTGTCGGGTAGAGGAGAAGGTGTGATGCAAACCGTTTGATACCAGGTGGCAACGGCGGCAATTGCGTATCGGCCAAAAAGAGTGCGGAAAATGCAAGCTGCGCAGGCGCTTGGTGTTTGCGGAAAATCGACGTGTCGGTGTACAAGGTGAAGAGGCTAGGCCAATGTACCTGTCACTCAAAACGGAACCTCGCAGATGCTCTTTGAGAGGGACAGGAATAGGCTGTTCAAGTAGTACAACCTTGGACAAGCTGACGTTTGATTTGACAAGGGTAAGTGACTGGTGACTCTGCCTGAGGGTCTATCAAGGAAATATCGGGTCGCCTTGAATCCAATTGTGACTTGTGAGAAGTCGGAAGAGTCAGATGAGGTAAAGGTACTGTGTAATCTCGTAAAAAGAATTACACTCGTGACTGTACGGAATCTAGGCGAGCAATGGGAGCCAAGGTACGATGCTGCCGCAAATTCTTCTTGACAACCCAAGTGCCCCGCGGTCGATGGCCGGTACGGTTGGCAACGAGCTGCAGGGAGATAAAAAGGCAAGCAGAAACGCAGGTGCATTGACACGGCCCAAGGCACCAATCACGATGCCCAGTCCCCCACTCTGCCATGTGCTAAATTGTCGTAGAGTACGTACCGGATCTGGAATTGCGCAATGAGAGGGGGAAAGAGCGTTGGTGTTGGCGGCTTCAGATTCGAAGTAGGCGCCTCCGCTGGCCGGTGGCCGCTTCCTCCTGCCTGCGGCCCTGCCACCTGCACCCCTTGTCGTTAATAAAAGCCAGTCGGTTACTCGCGTTATTTCACTCCTTATTACACTACCTTAGAACAACTACCTACGTAGTACAGTACTACACTAATAAGGTAAGGGGAGGTGTGAGATTCCCCAGGTACTCCTTCCCGCCTCACTATCATCGTCAAGGAGCGCTATTTTCTGGATGTACATTCAAGAGGCATATACTCTGTCTGCATTATCCGTACAATCACGAGGCAGCCAGACTTTTTGACAAGGGGATGGATTGCAGAATGTCCACCTCATTCGGCATATCGCAGTCAGAATTAGAACAAGAGTCACTGCTGCATTCCGGGCAGCGTTCCACGAATCCAATGCAATTCAATCCTCCCTGTACGAAGTCAGTCGTTGACACTGTACTTCCGTACCTGGTCGCCTATGTCTTCCGCCGCCGTCACCGCCCTCGCATCGCTTCAGGCATCTCCGTCACCAGTCTACGGCACTCTGCGTGAGGCTCGGCGTGTCTGGGCAGCCTGGCAACGACCGGAAGAATACAGTGCATGGTTAGAACGTCGTCGGGGCGCAAAATCTCTGCGAGACTGCCAGAGATCGGAGTCATGAACATACACACAGGCGCAACAAGGTACCCGTGCTAACCTAAAATGGCCACTTCTACACCCATCCACCCTGTGAGGGAGCCCTGTGCAATCTCTCTTTCTACCCCACCACCACACATTTCCACCTGCCACCCCCAAGTCCACATGGCGGCGACTGCACCCGACCCCGATTCCTGCCAATCCCAAACAAACTTATCCACTCAGAGATTTTCCTTTACAACTTCTCGACAACCCCAGCTTCAGACAGAATTCCCCCCCGCTACCAGCTTTTCCCTCCTCCCTCTCCTCTTGAGCTTGTTCGTCATGCTCCCGTTGTGATCGCATCTCTAGAGGCATTCCCCCTCATCCCCGCTGATTGCTCTCCAGCTCTCGAGCATCTTTACCATACAATTCACTTCTACGCATACCCTCGGCTTCGGCACATTCCAGTCCCTGTGACGTCGCCCTGCACCCCACTAGCAGATTTTTGACGCCTCCAGCAAACCCGACACCGGCTCTCTCGCTCGCGATCCTCCAACCCGCACACGACACCTTCGAACCCTCAAAAAAACCCGGGGTATCTTTCTCCACAATCATCTTCGAATACCCTAGCTGCGAAATACACATTGCAGCCCCGGCCTCGACGCCCTCTTCTCTTCCCCAGGTCCTAGTCATACCCTCGAGCGGTTCTAGGTTCAGCCTCCAATATCGCCGGTTTCGCCCGACCACTATTCTCCTCTTGTTCATTCACCCATTGCTTCTTGAGCAACCAGCAAATCTTCACAATGGTCCGCAATATCATTGTTCTCGGAGGCAACTCCCACCCGGAGCTCCTCAACAGTGTTTGCAACAACCTCGGGCTGAACCCATGCGAGCGCATTCTGTCAAAGTTCTCTGTTGGAGAGAGCCGCTGCGAGATCAAGGACTCTGTGCGCGGCAAGGACGTCTTTATCGTCCAGACTGCATCTGGCAATGTCAATGACAACTTCATGGACTTGTGCATCATGATCTCTGCCTGCAAGACGGGCTCCGCCAAGAGAGTTACGGCTGTCATGCCTCTGTTCCCCTACTCGAGACAACCCGATGTCCCCTACAAGAAGGCCGGCGCACCTCTCTCAAAGCCAGCAGCAGGGACATCTAAGAACTACACCTTTGAGAGTGTGCCTGCGACCCCGGGTCCTGGTATTGCGCGCAGCATGGGCCTCCCCAACGGCATTGATGGCATTGCCTCAAAGCTGGCTAAGAGCAAGCTCAACGAGGAGCGATCTAATGGAATGAACGGCGTCGACCATTCCAAGACCAATGGCAACGGTCGTAGCCACCACGACTCTGTATCCTCCCAGGTCAGCTACACCAACCACGACAACGAGCAACAAAACCGAATCGATGGCTTCCAGTCCAAGCCTGGATACAAGCAGTGGGTTGCCCAAGCTGGCACACTGGTTGCTGACCTCCTGGCTTGCGCTGGTGCGGACCATGTGGTATGTACCCCCGAAAAGAACTCCTGAGAATAGTTCGAGAGAGTGTTCAAAGGGGCCCAAAAGATTCGCGCAGCCAAACTAATAAAACGTAGATTACGTAGGTTTTCTTCCCGATCATCCTTTACGTGGTGCTTTATGTGACACAAAGGCCATTGTTACAACCCTCTCTGGAGCTTCCCAAATGCTCTTTATACCTGCATCGCTTCATTGCTTCTTTCTGAAGCATATGCTAATGATTGCAGGATGGATCTCCACGATCCTCAGTACCAGGGCTTCTTCGATGTGCCGGTCGATAACTTGTACGGCAAGCCCCTCCTCATGAGGTACATCCGCCAGAACATCCCCAACTATAAGGATGCTGTGGTTATCAGTCCCGATGCTGGTGGAGCCAAGCGCGCCACTGCCATCGCTGATGAGCTGGACATGGCTTTCGCCCTGATCCACAAGGTAGGCCATTACTCCCCGTGTGAGGAGACACAGGATTCATGGTTTTTTTACAGGAGCGACGCCCGACCAAGTACACCGAGCAACGCAATGCCAGCATGATGCTGGTGGGTGATGTCAAGGACAAGGTCTGCATTCTCGTTGACGACCTCATCGATACCGGCAACACCATTACGAGAGCTGCCAAGTTGCTCAAGAAGGAGGGTGCCACTCACATCTATGCTCTCTTGACGCACGGCATTCTCAGTGGTGACGCCATTCCGCGTATCAACGCTTCCGCCATCGACAAGATGGTCGTGACCAACACCGTTCCTCAAAAGGACCACATGCGCGCCTGCTCCAAACTCGAGTTTTTGGACGGTGAGTGCTCTCGAATACTACCGTGTCCTGGAGCGAAGCTAAAATTTAGCAGTCTCTCCGGTCTTTGCGGAGGCTATCCGTCGTGTTCACCACGGCGAGTCGATCAGCGTCCTTTTCCAGCACAACTAAAAGCATCATCACGTGGCGTTCGAAAAGAAACATCGGCTTTTTTGCATCGGAGGGTTTATTGGATTCCACCAACTGCTTCTAGGGAATCCCAGCAACCGTTGGTGTTGTTTTACTGGCGTTCAGCACAGGGGGTGGGTTGAGTGTGGCATCTTTTCTTACGCCATGGACATTCTAGACGTTTTCCTCTTTTACCCGGACTTATCAACAACATACCAGCTCGTTTCCCATTGGAAATGATGCAAACCAGTGGCAGCCCCGTTTGGCTAGCCACATTGCTACACAAAAACAAGATACTTAGAACCTCGTTCGTAAGATGGAGGCTCTCTGTACAGCGGAACAGCGGACCCGAAGGGGGAGCTTTGCTATACACACAAACTTTTCATGTCTGATGGATTACACTTGTCCGTTTTACTGTTGGCGACTTTGAACGTTTCTTTCATGATTTTTGGGACTTGTGCGAAACGGGGGCCAGTAAAGTGCTGCGCAATAGTCTTCATCCCGTCCACATAACACAAACATATCCGTAGAAGGTTCAGCCGCTTGATGATCGTCAGCGTGCCCGTAGACAAACCGTGACACATATTTGAGATAGAAAAGAAATCTAGCAATCGAGATGTACAAAACCTCTGTCAGTTTGAAGGCGAATGCCCAGTGCCGTCGTTGCGTTGATGTCTGTTTGTGCTGACGAAGACTTGTCCTTGTAAAATGCTTTTCACATGTCAGATGTACCCATCAGAAAGAGGGTTCGGATCTGTTATCCCCTGGCATACAAATAGTACACCAAATCAGACTCAAGAAAACAAAGAGTGAACCGAATCTAGGCCGATGGAAGTTCCAAAAGAAAAAGCAAGGATGTCGGAACAAACTCCTACAAGCCAAGAAGTCTTCTTCCCCAAAGGTTTCCCGACCCCAAACTCCCCAACTTCCCGCCCTGGCCCCACCGAGCCGCGGTTTCGCGGGGTACATTCATTTGCTTATCTTATCGGGGCGATGGAAGCCAAGCTCTCGCCCCGCCAACCCGCTGAGCTTCCCTCTCCCGGGGAGGGATGCTTAAACCGAACGACATCTTTGCCGTGAGTTTTGAGCCTCGGCAACGGGCAACGACGTCAGGCCAACGAGGACGAGCAGCATTCTTGAACACACAACTCGAGTGACTTTCTCACACCTTCGTCTCGTGCGTTGTAGACAATTCAGGTCTGGGCAACTCTAGTAGCATTAATCACACAACCGGGTCATTCGCAATGGCGACCCTCTCCGGCGCAGAGCGCATCCGCGCAATTACAGATGAGGACGGCATGTTCAAGGCCTTTGACACGTACCCCTGGAAAAGAGACAAGATGTTCACAGTACGTCTCACCTTGGAATCATAGATAATATACAGCCCGTCAATCATCTCGAGCTAACGATACGTGCTCTAGTCCGGCCTCTATGCGATCCTCGGCGATCCAAACACGGAAAACCCGCAAGGCACACCCACCGACCTCGCGATCCACGCCCGGATATTCTACTACGCCCAACGCATCGGCGTGACCATTGACTTTGCAAAGTACAAGGACTGGCTCGCGAAGCACCCTGACCACACGCCCCCCGACGTCCTGCCCGAAGAATACAAGACGAGCAGCGCAACCAGCACACAGGGAACCTCTTCCTCCTCGTCCACAGCTCCCGCAGCCAGCGGCGCAATAGAATCATCAACAGACGACGTCCCAACACTAACTTCCAAACTCGACAATCTCAACACCAACGAGACCACCCCCGCAGACCCAACAACAGATCTATCCGCAACCCCTACAGGCGAAGCAACGCCCTCATGGCAAGCAGCAGCCCCCAAAGCAGACCTCTACGTCGAACGCAAAGCGCAGCCGCAGGAGGGCGCTCCAGGCCAAGGGGGCGACGAGCCAGCGTACCCAATGGGTTTCGCGCAGATGCTGGAGATGATTCAAAAGGGGATTCCCATCCCCGGCATCAGACAGATCCCAGACACCGTCGTTAGGGACGCAGTGAGTATCTCCCCTAGTGTTTCTCCTTCCACTTTTCTTCTTCTCAAGATCGTTACTGAACTTGCAGTCTGTAAAACCATTTGGGAAACGTGCGGTACCCAAGAAGCCGTGGGAGAAGGATGTCGCAACTGCAGAGGCGGTGGAGAAGCCATCCGTAGTCGACTCCGAATTTCCACCGTTAGATGACGCTGTATCACCTGCAGTAGAGGCCGAGTCTGTAAGCAAAGAAGCGTAAGACGATGCATGATCAGAATCATGTAGGATTCAGGAGGCAATACGAATGGCGTTCTGGAGAGGGGATAGGGATACAAGGCTTATGGATTACCACAGAGTCAACAATATCAAGCAAAACATTATAAACCCGACACGGGAAGATCCCATTTACGAGTGCGCATAAGATAATAGAGGGGACCAAATTACTTGTAGAAGGATCATTTATAGGGAGCTACCTAATGCTCAGTTGAGGACTGCCACAGATGCTGTCCAAGCTGGACCAAGGCCGCACTCCAAAGTCTCCGGAATGTAATACATAACTACATACAATCATTGTCTTTGACTTTTGGTCCGATATGCCATGCTTGCCTAGTTGTCCATCCTCGCCATCCTCCGGGTTGTCCAGTTTGAATTTTGATGAGACTAAAGGAGTATCAAAGGGGTATGTGGATGTGTCGATGAACCGCCATGTATAGATGCGAGCATTCTGGCTGGGCTTCGTGATGCAACTCCAACGCCCACTTAGGGTTTCGAGGTCACAGTGACGCACCTCCATATCGCAAAATCCGTAACCATGAAGTGTCCAATGCACTCAGACAAGTGATAACCTGCCGAGCGTAGGATGACAGCTGATTTGTAAATTAATGGCCGAGGAAGATGTTTCGTAAGCACGGACAAATGAGGTGGTGCAACGACTTTGTCAAAGTTGAGGGAAATCGAATGGGGCGACAGGGAATTAGGGGAAACAGGTCCTATAGTGACGCAGAGTGAGAACAGTTGAGAAGTTGATGGCGACAGTATGAAAAGATGGTGACAAAGTCTAGCGGTAGCCGCCGCCGCCACTGTAACGAGGACCAGCACCCATACGGTTCATGGCAGGACCAACTCCGGGGCCGGGACGAGTAGCAACAGCGGGGTTGGTGCAAAGCATGCCCACGCGAGATCCAAACTTGGAGCCTCGAAGAGAGACCATGTGCTTGCGGATGTGGGCGGCGACAACCTCACGGTGCTGCAGACCCGCATGAGTGAGGATGTACTGAATGAGATAATTGCCGTACTGGTCGCTTGCAATGTCAACGAGGGGGATGCGAGGGCGATCAACGCGACCCTCACAGACCCGATCAAGATAGCGGCTGAGGAACTCTCCCCCTCCAATCTTCAGGCACTTCTCGACAACCTTGGAGGCGTACTGATCAGTGCTGTATTCGGCAGCGTAGCGAATGACATGATCGATAGCACGGCTTCTGTCCGCTGGAGCGCCATGCTCACAGATGTGCTGGATGCACCAGTTTCCGAACTGTCCGTGAGCCACAATGTCAATGTTGGCAAGGACTTCCTCAATACAGGGACGCTACAAATCCATAGTTAGACACATATGTAGAAAAGAGGGTCGGAAAATGTCAGCATACCTTATCTTCCTCGAGACAATTCTCGAAGATGTTCTGGACAACCAGACTGCCAGTTTCGCCCAAAGCGACTTCGTGCCACATGCCTCGCAAAGCCTCATTGACGAACTTCATAATCTGGGGCGGGGACTCGGACCATCGAAGCTCAAAGAGCTTCTGCCAGACATGACAGGCGTAACGATGAATAACGGTCTCGGGAATTCTGCGAAGAAGTTCGTGGACCATGATGGCCTTGTAGTCCTCAGGGACGGAGTCGAACGCCTTCTGAACAACATGGCAACCAAAGGGATCCATGGACAGATTGAGAGTATTGCCGCGAATGGCTTCCGCGATCTTAACAACTTGCTCTGGAGTGCCGTGCTCGAAGCAACGCTGTACAAGGAAGTTGCCAAAACGGTTGACCATGAGAGGATACGCTTGGGCAACGATTGCCTCCACGATCTCGTACTTCTGGTCTGGAGTGCCAACCTTGAGCTTCTGCTGCAGGAAGATGGAGGCCTGCTGGTCATTGTTGCAGACAATCTTATCCACAATGTACTTCCAGTTGCAATTGACATTCCGATCCAACAAGCGGCGGTAGTTGAGAGGCTCAGTAGTTGGCAGGTACGTCTGGCCCTCTGTGGCAATGGCCTGTTGGGGATGGAACATTAGCACTTTGCATCAAGGTCCATGTCTGGCATTGTCACGTACCTCGCTCTTCCATCCATCACCAGTGGTGAACTCAGTTGCATGGGGAGACAATGAACTTCCTGGACCCTGCTGGTTGAAGCCTTGATAGCCCATATTGCCCGAAGCGCTACCAGGAGGACCACCCATGGGGTCGAACGGAGCAGGAGAGGGAGTGAAGCCGCCATAGTTATGTCCAAAGTTGGTTCCTCCGTATGGCTGAGGAGACGGCCAGCGGCTGTTGTCGAACCGGTTGTTTCGGCGACTGCTAGGGGGCCGGGGGTACATATCGGGTTCATGGCTCATACGATCATTGCGAAAACCATCCGCCATAGAGTACGGACCAGCGGGATCCATATAGCCCTGGTTGAAGCCGCCACGTCCGCCACCATACCAGTCACCACCAGAGTCGGAAATAGGAGCAGCCGCATCAAAGGAGAGAGGAGCTCTATTGTTGCTCCAATGGCGGGGACGACTGTAGTTGTTGATGAAAGGGGCGCCGATATCCGAGGAGTTGTCGTCGGTAGGCCAGGCGTTCTCAGCTCCGAATGCCCCCGAACGAGCCGCAGGCGGAGCCGGAGCGATGTCTTCTTCTTGCTTGACCGAGCGCGACTGGGCCAGTTCGTGATCAAGGCGAGAGATTTTGTTCTGCGCTCGGGCAAGCTCCATCTTCAGTCGAAGGAGCTCGTCCACGTTGCCGTTAGTCTCCTTTAGAGCGGCACTGGTTGGGCGACTCGTGGGCGCAGTCGTGGGGAACGAGTCCGTGGCAGGAGTGATAGGGACCGAATTCGTCGTCGAAGAAGCCTTGTCGAAGTGACGGGAGTACAAGCTGTTCTCATCAGAGTTCTTCAAAGCCTCGTTCTGTTGATCGAGGGCAGCTTGCTGCTCAGACAGCTTGGCAAGGAGCATATCCATAGGGTTCGTGCCAGCAATCGTGTCCTGATTGGTCTTCTTCTGTCGTCGCTGTGAGCGAAGCGGCAGATTGCGGGAGGAAGAACCAACCTTGAGAACATTCTGATTGGCAAGTTTGGACGTAGCAAGAGTTGCAATGGTTTGCTTCTGCTTGAAGGCAGGGAGACCCTTTGATTTTTGTTAGCCCGGGCCTCTATCTTGTTCGAAGAACTTGTGTTGTACGGCAGTGGCCAAGGGCAGAAAAAATGATAGACCTTCAAGACAGCGGTGAGAAAAGAATTGTACTTACCGAGGCAGCTGACTCGATGGAAGGCTGGATGTTTTCCTCTTCGTGATGAGGCTTCAAAGCCGGAGGAGAGCTTCGCTTGGGGGTCTTGGGTGTGAGACCCGCGGAGGGAGGTGTAGACATCGTGACGTCGGACAATCTCTTCTTAGAGGGTCAATGCTTTGCAGAAGATAGAAACAGAGGTAATGCCGTAAGGTGGCAGACAAGTTGAGAAAGATTATTTGGGAGGGAGACACAAAGAAGAGTGCTGATGAAGATCTTCTCTGCAGTGGAGGGAGAGGTTTGTTTGTGGAGGAATTGTGGAGGGGAAAGGTGAGGAAAGCTTTTTGTGGTGGGAATGGGGAGAGAATGGGGGACGGGAAGGTGAGGTAGGAACGAGGAAGGAGCTCGAGTTGGTGTTGGGAAGGAGGCAGTCCCGGGCAGGACAGGCACCTGTTTGGAAGTAAGGCGTACGAAGGCCCTAATCGAAGCTGCTGCGGGCCAGGACAGAATAATCCGAAAGCGTCAAGATCGTGAAGTTGGTTCCGAGTTGAAGGAGGAATGATGGGCTGCTGCTTGGCCTGGCGAGGGAAGGGTTGTTGTTGAGGGTGTTGAAGTCGGAAGGAGTTCGCGACTCGGCTGAGATTTAGCACGGTCTTACTGATTTGGACGAGGAAGTTCAACTTGTTTATGCAGGTACCGTACAAGTCTTTCTACATGTGAAGACCTGTCGACCCGCTCCATATTCCACCTGAAGGAGGAGGGCCTGACTAGCCGGCCTCTGATTATTCACCACTGCCTACCATAGCGTTGTCTAGCCACCAGATGACATTCAACTTGAAGAGAAAGCATACCGCCCCTGCTGCCTTGCCCGAATCTGTTCATCAGCCCTTTGAAAAGACTCAGCTTTTGCGATGGCACTTCTTTGCTTCTCCAGATATGCCAAGAGCAGTAGGACGAAGATCCACAGATCCAGCGCAGAGATCAGACGGGGTTGTTCCTAGCACTGGAGAAGTGGGAAGTGCTGTGTGTCTTTCCATGTAGCACGCAGTGGCGTTCAGCACCTACCGACCAAGGCAATCATTTAGCGGGGATTCAATAAAACGGGAGTTGTCATTTGAAACATGAAACAAGGCTGTCTCTCGGAGAGACTTATGGTTTTTGACTCTGATATCCTCCATGGTATTTGTACACTGGCTGCCCTCCATGTTGATGGACATCCTCCCCATGACCCGCTGAAGCCGCGATCCCCGGTATTTTCATACCGTGCCTGTGCCTGAGGGTCCCTAGACATCCGCAAACTGTGACAGAGCCACATGGGCTGCCTCGGTCGGCGACTGTACTGCCCAAAGCCTCGCCGCTCTCTATGTGGAGAGTGTCCTGGCGCGCAAGATTCCGGGGGATCGCTTTATGAATGCACATCGTATCGTACAATCGATCTCGTGGTCGACGTCTATCGCTTCTTGGGCTCGGCTGTAGAACGGTCAGCGTAACCATCCAATTGGAGGCAACAAACGAGATGACTTACTCTTCGTCTTCTTCTTTTTCGGCGCGCTCTTTCCTCTGGCCTTCAGTCTGTCTAGGCGTTAGCAATAGCTCCTTCGCCCCCTTCAGCCCATGACATACCCGGCAATGTGTTCCAAGCGGTCCATCTCTTCCAAGTCTAGAGTTGTGACATGAGGACCAAACTCCCTCTGCACATCCTTGACGGTCGCAACCTTGCGTGGGTAGTAGTCGGCGATAGCAGGTCCCTTCAGTCGCTGGCGCAGGATCTTGTTGCCCGTCCTCACTCCCTCCGGGTTAAATACTGTCGCAAATACTTCGCATTGGGCCTTTAGAGGTTAGCAAACAACCAGAAAGGCCAGAGAATCGCGAAATTACCTTCATGAGGTCCAACAACCTCGCACGTGGGACACTCATCTTTGCAGGTCTTGATAGAGCTCTATCAGACCAGCCAGAAATTTGTCGCGAAGTCGAACAACCTTAGCTTGAGCGAACCTGAGTCCTGAATTGGACCCGCAAAATGAGAGCTGCGCACTCCAATTGGTTGCGGTCTTGGGATCATCGATTGGCCGGCAACACTCGGTACGTACCCACATCCTTGTCTTATCCCAGGCTAACGGACTTGATCCCTGCAGCGAAAGCACAGTGAGCTCCACCCAAGCCTGGACTGCTTAATTTTTGTTGCTTCTTGAGATGCTCACTGGTGAATAAGACGTAAGTTTCGATATTGCGACGAAATACTCTCATTCCTATCGACCACATTTCAATTTTTTCAATTTTTACAACATCAACCACGACATTTTGTGGTATCGTTCGACCAGAATTTGCAATCTGTTTGCCTCGAGGGAGAATCAAAATGAGCAAGCGCTCGAGTTCAGGGACGCTACCACCGAGCAAGCGAAGGCATGCCGAAAGCGAGGCAATAGACTTGCTTCTCGATCACGGCGATGACCTCATCAAATGTCTCCAGGCACTTACCCGGGCCAAGACAAGATCTTCTATCCATCGCGAGGACTTGCAAAAAATCCGGCAGCTTAGCAAGGTGTTATTGCCATCTTTTGAGCAGTTGGCTAGTGAAGGAAAGACAGAAGCCCTCGAAAGCGGTGAGATTGACGAGAATGAGGTAAAGACATTAGCTTCGTTTCATACGTTGTCAACTTTTTGCTGACTTAATAGGGGAAGAATGCATCACACGAGAAGGGCCAATCCCCATTGACACCGAGGCAAAGCCCAGTGGTCTCAGGACCGCCAATACCTTCTTTCATCTTGGTCAAGCCATGGACGCCAGCCGATATTCCGAAGACAATGCCGCCTCTGCCAAAAATCACGAATCCTGTCCTAGAGTTGGCGGCCTTCACCCATGTAGGCGTGGCCAAGCACAAATCGGATTTAAGTTACGACCGCCTTGAGTGGCTTGGAGATGCCTATGTCGAATTGATCTCGTCTTCCCTCATTTTCCAAACTTTCGGAGGGATGTCAACGGGCCAGTGCTCGCAAATCCGAGAGCTTCTGATTCGTAATGCCAACCTGGGAGAGTACTCAACACACTACGGACTGTTCGAAAGAGCGAATCTGCCGTCCGAGTTCAAGCCCAGAGGTACCCAGCCGGCTGTGGCAAAACCACATGAAATCAAAAAGGTTCGCGGTGATTTGTTTGAAGCATACGTCGCTGCTGTGGTTCTTTCCGATCCCATCAACGGTCTCGCTCGAGTTGCAGAGTGGCTCAGGACACTATGGGCATCGACTATCAAGGACCAGATCAGGTCGGTCGCCAAGACGCCCGGGTTGCAGACAGTCAAGGAACTTGGCGCGACGGTGACAGAAGAGTCTAGTCTGCCTCCGAAGGTCCTTCTCAGTCAGGCTATTGGTGCGAACGGCATCACCATCCGCTACGAAGACTTACCCAATGCGAACAAGAAAGACAAGTACAACAAGAAGCTGGCTCTCTTCAGCGTCGGAGTGTACCTTGACGGATGGGGCGAGAAAAATAAGCTCCTTGGAACCGGTAGCGACTTGAATAAGAAGGAGGCGGGCCAAAAGGCAGCGCAAGTGGCGCTTAACAATAAGAAATTGTTGAAGGTGTATCAGGATAAGAAGAAGGCTTTCCTGGCAGCTCTTGGGGAGAAATAGGCGAGGTCAGAGTGAGGCGGTTGCACTATACCCATGATACTAGTTTCAATTGAAGCAATAACCATCTACGAAGAAATTTGAGTCTCCGAGTGACGAAATTACTCGAAAAGCTAACGCCAGAAAGTACATAGCTGGGAAGAGTTATTAAGATGGTCGATAGAGCACATCAAAAATACCAGATGAACTCGACTCGGACGTTCGCTGAAGTGTTAACCATACAAACCGCGTGGGTGCTCAACCTAGGAGCCGAGATGAGTAAACAGCTAGCTGCCCAATGCCGAACAACGATGGACCTCCGTAGCCGCTATACTGGGACCCATAGGCCTCGGCTCAATATCAGCTCAGAACTTATACATACTGAAGTCTCAATTGACGGAACTCTAAATTGAGGACGAAAATAAAACAAAAGACAATGGGACATCCCGCACATCCAAGGTTGCCCGCATTTCACGTGCCTACTTGTCTCTCTCGGCCGACAAGCAGATGCCGCAGGCTACCGGTACCTAGCTTCAATCACACTCACAAGGGACAAAAGACGCGGGGATGATGGGAGTAAATTGCTAGTCGGGATCTCGGAGAAGCACAAACCCCTGACAAGCCCACGTCAGGCCCGCGCACCCAGGTCCCGCGTCCACTCTAAACTCCCCCAGATGCTGCTGCTGGGTTGGGGTCGTAGTTGGTTGCGCGGGCTTCGCTGCGTCTGCATTGCGTTGCGTGACCCGCGGCCGAGGCAAACAGAATTTACCGGAAATCGCCCACCCCTTCCGATGCTGCTAACATCGGCGCGAACCCCAGTGGCCCTCCCCAGGGCCCAATTTAGAGACAGCTGATTGCCGGTACCGAAATACCTTTGCCTCAATGCCAGCACCCGCCATCGCCGCCGCTACTCTCTTGCTACCCACCAGATCCCTTCTTTCTCTTTGGACGACGAAGTGAAAGAGTCTCATGGCGAAGCTCTCACATAATGCATGTCAGCGTGCTGGATCTCTAACTCTCTCCTTTTCCCAGCACCTGTTGCTCCCCCATTCCGTTTCAGTTCCGGCTGCCAAGGTACCTCGCTCTACCGGCACATCCAGGTGATTTGCGGAACTAGGTTATCTGAGTTGCTATCTTCGCCTGGTGTTGTTGAGCCGAACCCAACCCCGACGCCCAGAACACCTCGGATATACCCCCATTAAACGAACGCGTCTTCCCTCCCTTTGCCAACTAATCACGTCGGTCCGGTCGCCTCGAGAAACGGCTTTCTAGATGGCTGACTCCGTGGGTGAGTGCAAACAGAACCTTACTCTGCGCCCGTTGTGGAGAGAGCAATTCCCCGGCTAATTATGCGATTATGCCTTCTCTCTATAGATCGCGTGTTCGTCCATGCCTTAAATACGGTCAAGAAAATCCCCAAAACGGGGGCATCGCGTCCCCCGCCGTCCGACAGACTTCGACTCTATGGCCTTTACAAGCAAGCGATGGAGGGGGATGTCGATGGCGTCATGGAGCGGCCGACCTCGGCTTCCGGCATGCCAGCCGACGAGCTTCAACGCGAGAAAGACAAGTGGGATGCATGGAACCTCCAGAAAGGTCTGAGCCGGACGGAGGCGAAGAGGAGATATATCGAGGCATTGATCGAGACGATGCACAAATATGCGACAACACCGTAAGCCCGCATACCTACCCTACTGTCACTGGAACCGCTCTTTGCGAATCGCAGCCCACTGACTCGTCACCACAGAGACGCAAAAGAACTAGTCTCGGAACTCGAGTTCGTATGGAATCAGATCAAGAACAATAGCCCCAGCTCGACCGACTCCTCACCGAAAGGCACAGGTTACACCGGTGAATTACGACAGTTCCAGCCACCCCTGACCGGATCCGAAGGCCCCCTGAAGGTTCTCAGCCCCATGAGCGAGGACGATGCGGCAGAAAGGAACTCAGATGGAAGGATAGGTTACGACGACGATGACGAAGGGGACGCGCTCGTGCCTAGCAGTAACTGGTCCCGCAGCGTGGAGCGCGCACTCGAGAAGCTGTCCGCCGAGGTCGCGGCATTACGAGAGCAAATAACAACAGGCAGAGAGTGGAAGTCCAAAAAGTCACGAAGCTTCCCAGCCTGGCTACGATGGTTTACATGGGTTATCATGAAACATCTAGCCATCGATATGGTGCTGCTAGCCTTCATTCTACTGTGGATGCGCAAGCGGAAGGACCGGCGACTGGAAGACTTGGTCCGGGCAGGGGTGAAATTGATGCGGGAGTACGTGAGGAACGTCTTACCGGCCAGATGACAATTCTCCCGCTGGCAGCAAGAGAAGGCGAAGCTTTCAGGCTGATATAGCATTGACTCGATCGACAGCATTGCTACTTGCTGCTTGTAGCGACACCGATCTATTTAGTGTGTTCTCCACCCTTCGCACCGCTTGAGAGGCTTCTTCGACAGCAATGACGCTTTGAAGTCAGTGTTGGAGTAGTGGCGAATGCTCCCATGACGGCCCGAACGTCTATGCCCCTTTGATCGAACACGGAATGATCTTATCAAGGGAACAGTCTGGATAGCGACGATGAAGAAATCCCCTCTTGGAGATGGGCAGCCAATCCGAAGTATCCCCCAAAGGACATCACAAAGAAAGCCATCACATGGGAAAGCAACCACACATGCTGAGCCAAATGCAGCAGTTGGCCAAGTCTTCGGGGTCACGAGGCAGGAACCGAACGGACTGAACAACCTACATATTCATGGAATGTCCAGAGCTAGGACCGGGCGGATCATATAAATGTGATATCCAATAGCAAATAGTTATAAATTCAAAAATTTCAAAAATTTAGCGTTTCACTCTCGTACCTATGCCGCCGCACTTACCTGCTCAGACTCGCACTGAACCTTTCACTTAGTACACCAGCGAAGTTGAGGAAACTTCAACGACCTCACTTCAAAGTGAGAAACAAGCAAACAAGCGATGCTAACAGGGCCTCTGCAACGAAACTTGAATATATCTTGTTCATGTGTGCCCATTGAGATTCGAGTCAATCCCAAAAATTAGTAGGACCGGGGTGTAAGTTTGGAGCCACCTTGAGACTGCGATCACAGGCGTGGGACCTCAGCTTACCTTCACAGTTTTAGTCCCACCTTCCCACGAAGCACAACCTCAAACTTTCGTCCTACACACTCCATCATATCACTCAATTCAATCAGGTCGCGACACTGCGATTTCTACCTGAGATGCGGTCAAGAATCAGACTGGCACTCGGATTTCGATAATAGCGACGGACTCGTGGGCAAGATGCAAGCCATAAGTGAT